GTATGGCTAGTCGTACTCTTATTAGTTAAATAATCAGAGAGCTTAAATAGGTAATCTCCTAGTTAGGTTGCAGGTATAGTGACTAGTGTAGAACCCAGGCGGACTACTTAAATTAGGTACCAAAAGTACATGTGTGGCTAGTTGTATTCTCGTGAAATTGATGTAATATCATATTTATCTGAATAAAGCTAAGTGCCAGGGACCAAAGTAGTCACCTTAATATTAAAAAAAAAAAAGAATATTGTTGTGTTCAATTTGTTTCTGAAGTCAGTTTGAAGAAATTTGTAATTTTATTTCATAATTTAAACTGATACAAATCGATTGAATTATAATTAATCCAAAATTAAATGAAACATGTGTTGAGGCATGATTAAGAAATGTATTGATAAAAATTTCTCATTCATTTCAGCAGTTCTTTTTACCTATTATGCTAATTCTTGATGCAGAAGATTCAAAATTCCAACTGACTCTACTTAATCGAATAAAATTTTCATAGACCTATGAGTAGTAGAATATCACGTTTAATTTTTGCATATGTATTTCAGAATTTGTTCAATTGCATTACCACATAATATATGAACAAGAATTCTTCTTGACAAATTGTATTGCATTAAAATAAAAACTTGGGAGCCTCTATTGACTCTTTAATTAACAAAAATTGTTGCCGAAACAACAAACGAATAAAAATATTTTTATTTATATTATAAAAAAATAAAAAAATATCTAAATAATTTTTGATTCCAATACTAGCTCTATATAAATAATTTTTTTTTAAAAAACAAATAATATATCACTTGTTTTAATCACATATTCGAATTACTTTTTTATATCCAGTAATATGATATGTTCTGTTAGATTCTACTTTACGATCAAATAGGCAAGTGTAATCATCTTTTTTAAACAGTTTTTTAAGATCTATGCCATGTAAAAGACTAACCATTTGGTTTAATTCTATCATATTGGCGCGTAATAACACGCATCTGTGCATTATTTTGGGATGTGCATGCATGGTAATTCAAATCATTTTGACAAATTTGGGTTACAAAAGGAAGCCCTACTTTTATTAATAGACTTAGCCTGAAAGATCTAATCAAAATATGTAATATACATTTAAGGCGACATATTGTTTTAGGACTCACATAGGCATTATTTAGTCAAAAAATCAATTTTCAAAAAAGTGAAAGATTTGAAATAATGCCCATGTGCATCAATACGGTATTATAACCACCATAATTTTTCGTTTGTATTTGTCTTAGATAACCAAGGTTGTACATTTTTGATGTCCAATATCAGCAAATTTGCAAAAAAATTAAATAATAAGTTAAATAAAAGTCTGTACAAGCTTCAGACTCAGCAGCTATAGCCACAGAAATTAAATACAATTCTGTGCAAAAATTTAAATTATGGAAAATTTTGCAAAAATCTGCAGTTTTGCAGATTTATTCTTATTTAATTTTCCTGATGAAGGTTTTTTTTTTTAAATGTTCAATGTCTATGCCCAAGAATGCCCAAACATATTTACACTTTATAAAGTTTAAAAAATTATATAAAAAGACAGTTATATGCAAAATTAGGAGCTAAATATGTTTACAATCGGTTGCTATAGTAAAACTTTGAGTTATCGACATTTCTTTTTGTATAATATGTTTATGTATGTCTAGGGTGGTAACTCAACTAAGTAAATCAAAATTGTCAGCAATACTAGTAATTTTACTATGATCAGATTTTAATTAGTAAAATTAAAATAATCGATTAAATATCATATTATATATATTTAATTAATAAGCAATACACAAAAATTCTAAAGAACCTGCCTTTGATATTGCACTTATTTTTATAATTTCTTTTAATTGAAAACTCTTTATCGAAGTCATTTCTAAAAAGTTACGCTCAATTTTTTGCAAAAATTCTATTAAAGTTTCGACTTGTACGTTTAAATTTTAATTTTTTTTTTTTTATGTTTTATAAGACAAATATTAAAATTTATATGTTAGTAAAAAATCTGAAAGCGTAACTTTATTTTCTAATATTTAATAAGTTACTTGTAAAAATTTTAAAGTAATTTGTTTGGTTTTCATTAAGTTGCGTTGTTTTAAAGTAATCAATATTAATAAATATATCAATTTGTAAAGAATGGAAAACCCAAAATTTGAATAGGATGACTCATGGTGTAAAACTAAGAGGTTTCTATCACAGCATTTTGAAATTTATAATCCAGAGTTAGTACCAGATTTATTGGTTGAAAAGTACTTAGAGGAAACTGATGAGATGGTCTGTTTGGTCAATATGAATCGTTATTCTAATAACCTGGTCAGGGGTATAAATATCGTGCGATGTGAAGCCAGTCAATTTCAGAAGATGTTTGAATGCAAAGTCATTCAAAACCAATTCTTTTAAATGATTGATTCAAATCGACAGGATTGTGTAGATCATATATCAGGTGTAATGGGGAATAATTATAAATTCCACAGATCGATTCTATATCAAACTCAATTCAAAACTTATATGCATTATAATTTCTATATTTATACTACAATTTCCAATTTTCAAAATGCCTGAAATCATGACTTCCCAAATTGATCTTATCCAGTTTGCTGATTCTTTATCTGATTATGAGGCTCAAAACTTAATTAAAATTCTCCAATTATGTATGAACACGAGGGGCAAAATATCAGCATCATCATTATTTTATACATCATCTTTATCTTCTTCTTCTTCTTCGAGTAGTCTTACTATTACACCTCCACCATCTCCACCTTTAAGAAATGAATTTATTTCAGTACAAAAATTTTTTTCAAAAGGA